AAATCTCAATTAAATATTCAATAAAGATAGAGGCATGGCCTCACCATTAATATTAAAAAAAAAATAAATAAATAAATAAATACATAAAATTATAATAGTAACTATTAGTTTCCTTCATGTTATTGCATTTCGATAATTGTAATTGCACAACCTAGTTATCATATTTAATTAATATATAGACTAATATTCATGTTAATAGTATACTGTTAAATCCTTAAATTACATGTTAATTTGCTAATAAATTGCAAAAAAGTTAGTAAATAATAACAATAAATAAAATTAAAAAATGCAATATTACAAACTAATTGGGACTCAAATTTGGATTCAAATTCAATCAGATTTAATATAAAACCTTATATTAAACATAATTCAGAATAGATATTTGAATTCAGACCTATATCAGATTATTACAATATATAGTTCTACACAATTAGTTAAACAAATAAATAAAATACAAAAGAAGTATATCAAAGTTGAAATAATTTTCACTTGTTCCAGTAAAGATATTTATTTTTTTATTAATTTAAATCTTATTTGGACAAGTTCAGGCATTATAATTCTTTCTATAGCAAACACTACATCTTTTTTGTATATTTTCATAATTTTGAAAACCAATTGATTGCATAGATAATAAAATAAATACTACAACATTGCTTAACCCTACTAAAAATAAATTATGTATATAAGTAATAATTTATTCTTAGTGAACTATTCATTATTGAACTATAAAACAAATTAACTAATATCAGATTTTTCTATATCTAATATTTCTTGAACACATTCATGACTTGTAGACATCAATAATTCTTTATTATTACTATTGTTATAACTTAAATTAATAATTAGTTTAAAAATAAGCAAGTATATCAAACATAAAATTACTTTCTATATTTTTGTGCATTTATTACTTACATTTACTATACAATTATTATGATAAAATTTATATAAGCATATATTATGTAAAAAGTAATAAGTTAAATTAAGATGCACAAAAGCTAAAGTTAATTGAATTATAGAAATTTTTTGAATTTGTATAACAAATTAAACAATCATAATGCATTTTATGATTATGTGATATTTCTTACATATCTTGTAACTTCATCATTTTTTTTATTTGCATTAATATCTGATTTCTTTATTTTTTTGCAAGTTTTGCTATTGTAACCACTTTTTTTTGCATACTTTGCATCTGTAACTTATTTTGGTATTAAGCTTTTCAAGAACATTTGCAATTCTTTTTGATTTTGAATAACCTTTTGGTCTTCTTTTAGTAGGATTTTGAATAGCTATCACATAATCATTATTGTTAAGATTACAGTTTAATTTATCAAAGTCACTAAGTTCATTAATAACTCTTTGTGATGTTTTATTCTGAATTAATATAAAAAATTCAAGTAATTTATGATAAACTTTTTCATTGTTGTCCTCAATTGCATTGATCATTACTTTTTTTTCTAATCTCCAAAGTTTATCAAACTTGTGTTTTTTAGAAATAGCTTTTAATATTTTATCAACTGATTGGTTTGAAACACAATTTGCCAATTCAACCCTATTAACATCAAATTCACTATACAAAAATTTTGTTGGCAAAATATGTGCTTTTAATGTTAATATCAATATATTTGAAGAAACAACTATGAACTTATTATTTGTTATATTAACTCCTTGTAGTATATTCTTTTTTTTTTTTTTTAATGTTAATGGTGAGGCCATGCCTCTATCTTTATTGAATATTTAACTGAGATTTTACATA